CAGTCAGCCCCAATCATGGTGTACAATAATGTACTTCACAGCGACCTGAGTTTAAAGTTCCACCGTGGCCTGTGGCATTTGGTGGACAACTTAGCACACCGTTGACACAGCAGAATGACACACCGCTGACACAGCAGAATGACACACTGTTGACACAGCAGAATGACACACCGTTGACACAGCAGAATGACACACCGTTGACACAGCAGAATATTGCACAATTCCTGTGAGTTCAGAGTAAAGCTTTGTTAAGGTCAAACCATAAGACAATTGTCACTTCATCTTTATCATACAACATCTTTATCATACAACATCTTTATCATACAACATCTTTATCATACAGCATCATTATGATACAATTTATGGGAAATTCCCATCTCTCCTAAGACAAAAAAAAGGGGAAAATCGAAAAATAAAAAATTGGAGGCGAGCTGACAAAATGAGTAACGTCTACCAGGCCAGGAACGGTGGTATCATCCGACAATCGACACTCGGGATAGATTTGCAGATCTTCCATTGATGCCATGAATGTTCCCTTAATTCTTTCCAACATAGAAATTGTTCAAACGCCACCTCTAAATTTGACAAATCTATTCCCGTAGGGCGAAAATCTGAGTGGTAACTTATTTTGTCAGTAAGCCTCTTATTTCCACCCTTCCTACTCTTAAGACGAAAAAAAAATGTGAAAAACCCCCCAAAACCTTACAATCATTCAACCATCTGAGTCAGACTTCTTCCCAAACATAGCACTCACGCCACTTCATCTCAACCCCCCACAACACACACACCAAAAAACAAACAGATAAACAACAACAAACAAACAAAAAACCAAACAAAAGCCAAACTCCCCCTTTTAACCAAAATTCGAGAATGCTCGATTTAGGGTATGAACCAGTCATCGATCGAGACCATAACCAAGCATTTTTATTTTACTCGTAGCGTAAGGATGATGTCGCGTTTCAGCTTTGTCAATATTACTGACGCAGAGACGTTGAGTACTTTTTTAAAGACGTGATCGTTTGCGGGTGGTTGGCAGGTGCTCTGGAATGGTTTGCTCCTTCTTTCCTGTCAAACATCTATCGTCCTGATCTCTCCGTGTGTGTGTGTGTGTGTGTGTGTGTGTGTGTAAG